TATGGATGTAATTCAACCAAAAATCTAACAATTATATTCTTAATCTAGTATCACCTTTCTCTATATTCTTATAAAATTTCCTTTTTCCTTTAAAAGATACCTGTTTTTGACATGGATGCATTTATATGGGCATATATGCAAATACAGATAGTAGACTATGTAGCATCTGTGTACACATAATAAAAATGTCCAAGCAAACAGCTGTCTTTCATAGTTAAAAACTGGAAATGCATATCTACAATACACAATCAACTATCGTCAACGTTTAAGTGTGGGGAATGCATTTGATATCATGTCAAGTACATTAAAGAGTCTTGGTCTTCAGAGGGGAAGAACAGCTATTTAATGTACACATTTATGCTCAAGAATGTCACCACAGAAGAGAAACAGCAAAACTTACAAATATTGTTTGCTTTTATAAGGCAAATATTTTACCAAATGTATTTAATAAATTCTGGTTAGTGTTTGCTCTCATTAAACTATTTTTTTCTCATTTTGAGGTTTTTCACCTTAGATCAAGGTGAAACTTGCATTGAACAACTTTATTTACTATGATGTAACTAAGTGTAATAAACTGTTCTTTCCTGATGCAGTCATTGCACAGGAATATAGGATCAGAGAATGATTAGCAGATATAAGAATTATCTTTTAATTAGTAATCATTTCCAAAAAAGTAAAGAGAGTCATAAGCCACATAATGACATTCAGTCAATGATGGACCACACATAACGATAGTGGTCCCATAAGATTATAATGGAGCTGCAAAATTCCTATTGCCTAGTGATGTCATAGCTATCGTAATGTCCTAGCACAATGCACTACTCACATATTTGTGGTGATGCTGGTGTAAATAAACCTACTGTGCTGCCAATCATATAAAAGCACAGCATATACAATTATGCACAGTATATAATACTTGATAATGATAAAAAAACAACTGTTACTGGTTTATGTATTCACTATACTATACTTTTTATTATTATTCTAGAGTGTACTCCTACTTATAAAAAAAAGTTAACCATAAAATAGCCTCAGACAGGTTCTTCAGGAGGTATTCCAGAAGAAGGCATTGTTATCATGGGAGATGACAGCTCCATGGGTGTTACTGCCCCTGAAGACCTTCCAGTGGGATAAGACATGAAGGGGAAGACAGTGAGACTGATGATCCTGACCCTGTGCTGGCCTAGGCTAACGTATGTGTGTGTCTTAGTTTTGAACAAAAAGTTTAAAAAGTAAAAACACAAAAAAACAAAATAAAAAACCCACACA